AGTGGAGAAGTGATGAAAAAGATTAATGGGGTGTATGTGTCTGTGTATGAATATGATTGAAATACATTATGTACATGTATGAAAATGTCATAATTAAACCAAATATAATATGTGCTAATAAAAACATTTTAAAAATTACCTCAAAGTGGAAAAAAAATCAGCATCAGGCTGATAGGAGCCAATCAACTGGGAGATGGGAAAGACTTGGTCAGCAGTCAGTTAGAGCAGTAGTTCTCAAGGTCCTAATGCTGTGACCGTTTAATCCAGTTCCTCATGTTGTGGTGACCCCCCAATCATGAAATTATTTTTGTTGCTATGTCAAAACTGTATTTTTGCTACTGTTAGGAATCATAATAATGTAAATATCTGTGTTTTCTGATGGTCTCAGGTGACCCCTGGGAAAGGGTCATGACCCACAGGCTGAGAACCGCTGAGTTAGCGGGCTGTGACACAGTAGAGCTACGTTCTGGTTGAGGCAGGAAGGGCAGCAAATCCTGCAGAGGTCTTGGGCAGCTGCCTCATCTGGGAGACACTTGCCTCCTCCTGTGCCCTTGGGAAGAAGGTACTGGGTAGAATCTAAAGGACTGAGTCCAGGTTGGGCCAGGAGCTTGGAACTGTTGAGTGAAAGGTAAAGAAGGAGGTTACAGAGATTTTTGAAAAAGAGTTTTTATAACTCTTTAAGGGAAAATTGTCAAAACTTCTGTAAAAGCAGGGAGGAATGTTCTGTCGAATGCTGTGTGTCACACCCTGCTTCAGCGAGAACCAAGTCCAGGGTGGTCCTTCCACCCCCTGCTCTAGCTTCTGAATTATTTAAAATACGAACTTTAAATTTATTCAACTCATCCCCCCCACCCCCACCTTTTTGAGACAGCTATATAGTCCAGCCTGGGGCCTTAAATCCACAGTTCTCCTACCGAAGCCTCCCAAATGCTGTGACTTATGGGTGTGTGCCACCAAGCCTGGCAGGACCTTCCTTAGCTGCCTTCCTGACATTCTCTCTCTTTCTCCTGGAACCTCACCAGGAAGACGGGCTAGTCGGCTGCTGAGCTTCCTGGGTCCATCTGTCTCCTCCTCCCACGTTTCTGTTACTAGAGTTACAAGGGCACGCCACTGTGCCCAGAGTTGTATGTGTGCTCTTGGGTCTTAAACCCAAATCCTCATGCTTGTCTTACCAGCTTGTAAAAGCAGCTTGTCATCATCATACCTGACAAAATCAGCGATTCCCGTCTCCTCCGTAAACCCCATCCATCTTACATGGCAAGGGTGACTGTTGCATTCAGTCAGTTTATTCCTATCAGGACCCGAGTGAAGGCCACACATGACTTTAGTTGAAGCCTTTAAATCTCTCAAGGGTACAGGAGGGAGAATTTTGGAATGTTTTTCTTCAAGATTTAAAAAAAAAAAATGCTCAGAAAACAGAAAGGCCCGGTAAAGAGGATTAAAACAATGTCCATGTAGCCATGCTGAAACCTAAGAGAAAAATGAGGGAGGCTAGGCCAAGCGGGGAGAGGAGTGTTTCCTCCCATTGTTTGATTGCTGCAGGGTCAGCTCCCGAGCACCCAGCCTGTCTGCTCACCCTACCCAGGCAGGAGGAGGCAGAGACACCCACAGAAATTTCACCTGCATCTTCCTGGGAAAATCGGTGTTTGCCAGCAGGAGCCAAGCCCCAGCCTGCAAAGGAGCCAGCAAAGAGAAGGGGAGGAGTGCCCCTTGAAGGGAGATTTAACTGAGAGAAGGGGCTTCTATGAGGCCCACAATGACAGGAGAGAGAAGTGGGTGTTCCTGGCATTCTGTGGAGTATGAGGCCGTTGGCATGGCACAGATGGAAGCTTCAAAGCTTCAGTCTATTTGTAGCTCTTAGGAAAGTCACTGGAGGAAGTGCCTCTTCTAGAAATCCATGGTTCCTTTCTCACATCTTGGAGGTGGCTGCTGCTGCAGCTTCCTCTCCCTGCTCTGCGGCTGCCATTTCAGACCCTAGGATACACCCCTGGGCTATTTCAAAGACGTTGACATCTGTGTAAACAAAATCTGACTCTAGCCACTCTGTTTTCTTGCCTCCCTTTCTGACTTTTTTTTTTTTTTCAAGACACCAAACATTCCTAGGAGCCTGGTCAGGATTGCCCAGGCTTCCTGCTATCAGTGACAGACTGTAAGACCAGAAGATGGGTACTCACTCTCTATTTGAAGAGGGAGGAGCAGGAAGCAGACAGCCCCCGTTTAATAAAAACAATGCCACATTCCTTCTGGGAACAGATCTCACTGCAGAATTTATGTCTCTCTGACTTTCCATGCTGAGTGTCAGCCTTTTGAGAGACTCTTAGCAACCAAGAAGCCCATTGATGAGGAAAGGCCAGCCTGACAGATTCATAGCTTAGGTGACCTCTTCCTTGGAACTCGTGTATGTGTGTGTGTGTGTGTGTGTATGTGTGGCTTATAGAGTGGACCCAGAAATAATTCTGTCACTGCCTGTCGATGGCCCTGGGAGGAGCTCCACTTGACATTTTATCTTGGCATTTCTGTTCCAAGAATGATCCTGTTGAGCCAGCAGGAAGTGGGGCTTTCCTTAGATTCCCTTAGCCTTTGTGTTTTCTCTCCAATTATGGGAGGTGGGGTAGGGGTGGGAATCAGCCATTTCTCTTTTGTGTGAGGAAACCCATCAGCCAATACAGAAGAATAAGTCCTTTCTCTCCCTGAGTGTGCTGATCTACTGGCTCAGATTTCCTTCTAGAAAACAAACGCACCCTCTCACGATTAGGCTCAAAGGTCATTTATGGCTGTTGAGTGAATTACACTTCCAAATGGTATTGTGATAGGTGATCAAAGTGCCTTGGGCTTCTTACAGGTGGGTGTGAGCAGGTCCAGTTTGGTGTGTGTGTATGTGTGTGTGTGTGTGTGTGTGTGTGTGTGTGTGTGTGTGTACATACACATGCATGTGAGTGCCCCTTGGCTCGTGTGGAGATAGAGGACAAGGTTTGTAATGTGAAACCTAGGATTGAACTCCGGTCATCAGGCTTGGCACCAAACACCTTTACCCCTGAGCCATCTTGTTGTCCCAGGTCCTGAGATTTCATTTCAGTTTGTCTTGTCAATAGCTCAGGGAATCAGTTCAACCGTACGACTAGTAAGCAGGAGCATTGTTGACACGGGGAGGAGGGAAGCAGGGCCTGGTGGTGTAGACACGGACACAAAGCACACCCCAGTGTCCTCGGGTTGCTCTCCAGGTGTGGGAGGCCCCCACTGCCAACCCGCATCAACAGGTTCCACACACAGTAAAACAGTCCAGACACCAGAGTCAGCAATATCTCTTGGAAGATGTTTGAAATATTTGGGAGTATGGGGTGAGGTGCACCTGGCATGTGCCTCCTGCCAGGTGCCAGTCCAACGCTGTGTACACTCGCTGCTTTCTGGTGCCCCGAGGGAAGGCCAGGGTGGAGCTGTGCTCTGAGTGCCGTTAGGTAGGACCAGCTCGGAGTAGCCTATGAGTTGCCTCCCTTAGCTCTTAACTACAGCATCATAGGCTGTCAGAACAGAAAGGCAACAGGAGGCCTGTGGGATCCTCCCGGGCAGTTGTGTTTCAGGGGCTTTGAGAAGCTATCAGCTGTACTTGGAACAGTTGCTTGCCTGGACACACACACAATTTTACTTCCATAATTAATATATCAAACTGTGCCATATTTTGTTTATCTGTACATCAGCTGATATGTTTTTGGGTTGTTTCCACTTTCCTGGATCTTAATAATGTCGCCCTGGCCGTGATGTCTGTCACTCCATTGAGCTTTGGTCTAGCTGACTAGATGGGTGTCCCTTTCCTCCCTCAGTATTGTGTGTGTGCATGTCTCTCAAAGCTGGCTATTTGGTCAAAGATGGCTTTCCCTGAAGGGAGGACTGTCCCCTGTCAAGGATAAATGAGTAGTTCTGCTCTTCTGCTAGAACCTCCAAACAAACTCAGGGATGGTGCTGGAGCTGGAGAGCTAGCTCAGTGAGGAAAGGTCTTTGCTGCCAAGCCTGACCACCTGAAGTCACTTCCTGAGATCCACATGGTGGAAGGAGAGAACCGGGTCCTCACGTCACTCTCTGACCTCCATACACATCTGCTCTCCTCCCACTGATGAACAAGTAAATGCCGTTAAACAAACAAACAAACAACAACAACAACAACCAAAAAAAAAAAAAACGGGGTGACTCTGACCATTCATATACAGGTTACACTCAAAAAGTACAAACCATCTCAGGATGCCCACAGAATCCCCGAAACCTCTCTCTTCATCTAGGAAACCCTTATTTTACTATTTTGCAAAAGGGGGGCATTTAAAAGGAAGACAGAAGGCTAGCAACAGTTAGTTGATCGATGTTTGCTAAGTGGTCCCAGGTTAGGCATGCTCCCATCCATGGGTCCAGTCAGGCTCTCCAGCCCTGTCCTATAATCGTGACATCATAGATGAGATAGCTGAGGCCCAGAGAGGTCGTGGTAGGGCTTCCTGCAGCCAAAGACGGACACTGTGTCCTGACTGCCAGGCAGTGGGTGACAGCTGTGTATCTGTCCTCATTTGACCACCCCCTCCCCATCAAGGCCCCTACTTCCTTCCACTTCTAATACTAGAGGAGTGCGAGCACCACGCCTATCAATGGGCATGCGGTTCACCAAAGCCAGCGCCAGCCCAGTGTTCTGTGCCGTGAAATTACCCTCTCGCCAAAGTGGTACTGTTGGCCCTCGCTTCCAGCTTTTCTCACTTCAAGAGGGCAGTCATACCAGTCTCCCTGTATATGCTTGCACTACACTGTGGTAATAATAGCCCCGGGGCATGCACGATGCCTCCTGGGCAGTGAGACATTTGTAACATCACCCTTACGGTGACATGCGACATTCCCACTGCATGCCTTGCTGGAGAAGGAGGTACCGGGGGCAGGCTGAGGATGGTGTGTAGCCCCGGATTCTGTGGGGAGGGAGGAAGCTGCCATTTGAAACCCAGCTGACACCATCACGCGGTTTTATCTCCCAGCCGGTGGACAACCAGCAAGCCATGGTGCGCAGGGAGTCCGTGGTCAACCTGGAGAACTTTAAGAAGCAGTATGTCCGCAGGCGGTGGAAGGTACGTCAGGGCTCAGGGCTCAGGGCTCAGGGCTCAGGACTCAGGACTCAGGGCTCAGGACTCAGGACTCAGGGCTCAGGGCTCAGGGCTCAGGACTCAGGGCTCAGGGCTCAGGGCTCAGGGCTCAGGGCCCAGGGCTCAGAGCAGAGGGCCCCCCGCTTCTCTCCAGACCTCTGTGCACATTTCACCTGTCGGTTCTCGCTCTTTCCTCAGCTCTCCTTCAGCATCGTCAGCTTGTGCAACCACCTCACTCGCTCCCTGATGAAGAAGGTACACCTGAGGACAAACGAGGACCTGGTGAGTACATGCAGAGCCCTTTGCTTGGGCACAACGCCTAGATTATAGGAGAAGAGGGTATTAACTATTTCTAGCCTGTTCTGCAGGCCCTGTCCTCTTCTGCCCTGAGGGCTGCAGTGTGACTGGCAGAGGGGAATGGCTGAGGAGCCACCACGGATCCTTTTCCCTGCGCCCTCTAAGGGACTGCTCCTACCACCCCACCCCGCTCCTCCAGCCCCTGCCTAAGGACCAGTAGCCCTCAGGGGATGGTGGAAATGGGTGCCATAGACCATCCCAACATTATTCTGGCTAAGTATGATAGTGCACACCTATAATCCCAGCACTTGGGAGATGAAGGCAGGAGGGTAGAGGCAAGCAGAGGTGACTTGAGACCTTATTTCAAACCACCCTGTCTCAGAAAGTTCACTTCCGACAGTCCCGGTTCTGTCGGGATGTTCTGTCGGGAATAGGCGCTTTATTACACCCTCTGAAATTTCCCCTTTTTATTTTGTTTTAGACGGCCTGTGTCAATAATGGTTGATGATATGCTCCTTTAATATGCTGGGCAAGTGCTATGCTATTGAGTTACGTCCCTGGCCCTGTTGTATATGTTTAAAACAAGAGGCTTATAATGGAATACGCTCATCAAGGGGAGGTCTCTAGAGCCAGTCTTCTGGAATTCAGCTCTGCCACTTACCTGCTGTGTGGCCTTAACTTCTATGTTTCAAAATATCATTTGTAAAATGGGGGCAATAAGAGTTCCTCTGTTGTTGGATAGTGATTAGGCTTAAATGATGGCCTGTCCTTACTGCCTGGTGGGTAAGTGCACAGTGAGTGTTAGCAGTCATTGCTGCTTAAAATCCTCCTGTGGTTGAAGTGGGCATCAGTGTTAACATTTCAGTTGGTAAGGGGTTCCCTGGGATACCCTCTTCCTCCTCATTGAGTGGAAAGAGCAGGAGTGTCGGGAAGGCATAAATTAGGAGAGAAGGTGACTCCTTGCTCAGTAAGGGACTGGAAAGCAGCCGCCTGGCAGTCGCCATGTGTAAACCGAAGATGCTTAGCACTAGGCCGACACCCTGCTCCCAGCACACCCTGGGCACTCCCCAGAGCCCCAACATGTCCTCAGTGGTCCTCTTTCTTCAGGCTACGCTCTTGCTTACTCCTGCTCTTGGCAGGACATGAGACTTGGTAGCTGTAGAGGCCTGCGTAGCTTTTCATCATCAAGTCCCTCTTCTGACCACCAGCCTCATGGACTATGAAGGGCACCAGCTTCGCCACCTCTGAGAACCTCTGTCTGTTACCCAGCTTACTCTTTCATTGTTTGGCTCTGACTCATAGTAAAAAGTTGCTGGTCAGCAAAGCTTGAGTTATTTTTGTTGTCTTAGTCAGGGTTGGTCCAGGATGTGTTTGGCTAAAGTTGCTTTTGACCTCAGATTTCCCACTGGCTCAGGCTTCCCTGGAGGGACATATGACAGGTGTGCTCTTCACACTAAGTCCTGGACCTTTTGCCTTTATGTAAAGAAATTTAATTTTTTTCCTGGTGCAAAATGTTATATATATATATATATATTTTAACTCAGACATTCTAACAGCCTGCCTGCTCAATGACTTATCCTATAGGAGGCGAAGGACTAGGTTCCACACACACGTTGTATGGCTTTTCCTATTGGGCCTTCCTTAAAACTTTTTCAGAAAGATAATGACAGAAACTTATGTTTAGGAAGGATAGAAGTTAAACATTTTAAGACTCATTTAAATTTGATTCATTTGTTAATTGGAGCTGGAGAGATGGCTGGGTGGTGGAGTGCCGCCTGCTCTTGCGGGCCCAGGTTTGGTTCCCAGCACCCACATGATGACTCACAACCACCTGCATTTCCAATTCCAGGGATCCAACTCCCTCTTCTGACCTCCATGGGCATCTGCATGTACATCATACATACACATTCACTCAGGTACACACACAAGATAAAGTAAGACCTCATCTCTATTCATTGTTTTCTCGAGACAGGGTTTCTCTGTGTAGCCTTGGCTGTCCTGAACTTGCTGTGTGGACCAGGCTGGCCTCGAACTCACAGAGATCCGCCTGCCTCTGCCTCCCGAGTGCTGGCATTGCAGGGGTTGCAGTGGTGCTTGCTGAAGGCATGGTGGAAACCATCTGAGGCTGAGGGCCTGGCGTGACGGCCAGTGGGCCTTATGGAAAAATTAGCCACTTCCCCACAGACTGAGCTCAGGAGACAAGTGCCCCCACAAACTACCTTTGCAAGTGGCCTTGATAATTGGCAGGCACAAATAGCACCAGATGACATTTTTCACTGTTATACTTGGGCTCCTCTGGCATCTCTTTTCCCATGGATGCCCCGAGAAAGAGGCCTCAAGGCAGTTTGTTTGCCCTTATTTCAAGTCCCCCTCCTATTCCTGTATGGCAGAGGTCTCTGAATGAAGCTAAGGGCTTCCTTTTTATCACCTCGCTTTCCCCAGCCTGTAGGCCTCTTTCTTGAGTGTATGAATTTAGGCTGCTCAGTGTTGCTTCGTTCATGTCATCCCATGATGCCCTTCTCTGGGGCCTCTTTTTCCTAGAGGAACTGCGAGAGTGACACAGAGGAGGACATCGCCAGAAGGAAAGCCCTTCACCCCCGGAGGAGGAGCAGTACTTCTTAATTGGCCCGGCTTGCAGTGGCTCCAGGGAGGTCCATGTCCCTGTGTCCCTTTTGTGCCATCTCTTGGACACTGCTCATCACCAGGATCCAGACATTCTGTGTTCCTGAGTACTTTGGAAGAGAGATTGGAGTCTGCAGGACTCAGAACTTTCCGGAGACCCTGGGAGCCCTGGCCTTCTCCTGATGGGGATCTGCCAGCATCCCCCAAGCTCCTAGTTCTCCAGAAAACTGGCTTTCATCTGTCTGCAAATCTCAGAAGCTAGGACGGGATATAGACTGAGGAACTGGATCTAAAGGAGTATCATTTTTACCACAGGTTAAAGGTCAGATTTAAGCAGCTTTTTCACAAGGTGACAGAGTTCAGAAATAATCAGGGCAGCAATCATACCAGGAAGAGAGAGACCTACCTTATCAGGACATGCGAGAGAAGAGGCTCTCTAGAGCGAGGGACCAATCCTGTGACTTCCCAGAATCCACAGGAGTCAGGATGGCCAGCGTCAGACTTTGTCTGCCAGGCTCTTGCCAGACCATTGTGTTATAATTTTTTCTCATTTTTATTATTAAACTTCTTGTTTATCTACTGCTTGGTTGTTTAGGGGCTCTCTCCATCTGGTTCCCTAAAGCCTAAGGCCCTCTGGCTTGGGGAACACTGATTGGCTGCTAAATGGACAGAACCTCAAGAATTGATTCTCAGCAGTCTTCTTTTGCCAATGAGGTGCGGGCCTTCTGCATTCTGCATCTGCCCCTGAAAGTGCCCCCACCCCCGTCACAGAAGGCTGTGACCCGACCACCACCACTGCTGTTAGTCCTCCTGTTAGGGGCTGACTCTTAACTTCATAAGTTGAAGTTCTAGCCCTCAGTGTCACAGACCATCACTGTCAACGGAGACAAAGTGATAAAATGGCTCATTAGAGTGAAGCCATCAAGGTAAACTCAATATGATATGACTAATGAATACCCTTACAAATATGGGAGAATTGGGGCTGGAGAGATGGCCCACTGGTTAAGAGAAATTTCCGGTTTCCAGTGCCAGCACCCACAAGGGGCAGCTCACAACCACCTGTGACTACAGTTTCAGGGGATCCAATGCCTTCTGGTCTCCACGGGAACCAGGCAGATAGTGCTTGCACATACATGCAGGCACTCATACATACACATAAAATTTTTTTAAAATAACAATAAGAGGAGATTTCCTCTGAGCATGGTCTCTCGTGTCTGTAATCCTAGCACTTAGAAAGTTAAGGCAGGGTGATTGCCATGAGTCCCAGTCCGGAATGGGACATGGAGGAGGTTTACTGTAAGTGGTGCTTTGTACCTGTAAGTTTTAACTATGTGGGACACTGAGGCAGAAGGATTACTTGAGCCCAGGAGTTAGAAACAGCCTGGGCAACAAGGAAGAGCAGGAGGAAGAGGAGGAAGAGATTGAAATCCAAAAGAAAGGACATAGGGGTCTGGAAATGGCATCTGCAAGCTAAGGAGACAGGACTCCAAAAAAGCCAGCTGCTGGATGCAGTGCCGTATGCCTGTGATCCCAACGGTTGGGAGGCAGAGACAGGAGGGGAGGGACATGCTGCGAATTTGAGGCCACCCTGGTCCACACACTGAGTTCCAGGCCAGCCAGGGCTACATAGCAAGACCCTGTCTCAAAAAGCCAAAGTGTGGGAGTGAGGGCCATTAATCAACCCATACTGAATCTCAGATATATGGCCTCCAGTGTGAGAAAATAAATTTCTGTTGTTTAAGCTATCTAGTCTCTGGCACTTTTTTTTTTTTTTTTTTTTTTTGACAGTGCTAGCAAACCACATACCTACCAGTCACAGACAAGAGAGGCAGGGGGATTTGTAACAGTCTAGACAGAGGATGGTAAAGGGAAAAGTGAGAAGAGAAAAATGAAAAAAAGGTAGATGCAGTTAGTAAGGAGATTTCTACTGCATATAAACCCACACCATGCTTTTCTGGTTGTAAGAATGGCTTTGTTGGCCAGAATTCCTGAGAAGACCCTTGGAAGTCTAAGGGGAAAAGAAAAGAAGGAAGTCTGGAAGGTGAGTAAAAGAGTTGAGCTCAGGAAATAATCCAGGAAGTACAGGGTGTGTGTGTGTGTATGTGTGTGTTAGAAAGGAAAGAGCCCGGGGAGAGTATGGCATTCATTCCTTTAACAGGGGGGAATTTTCTTGTTATTTGTATATTTTTACATTGACTGAGTGAGTGATGATTGTGTATTCGGGGTGCACATATTCTGTGGCATGCATACGGAGCTCAGAGGACAACTTGCAAGAATCGATTCTCTTCTCCGTGTGAGTCCTGACTGTCGATTTCGGGTGGTCTCAAGTTGTCAGGCTTTTCAGCAAGCAGCCTCGTGTGCCGGACTCTCTAGCCAGCCCTTGTTTTGTTTTGTTTTGAACAGGAACACATTTAGCCCAGGCTGTCCTTGAACTCTTGGCCTTCCCACCTCTGTCTCCTGAATGCCATCATTACTCGAGATCACCAATAAATCAGTTTCACTCACGCTGTGTGAGAGTCAGCCAAGCTTCCTTCATATATGGATGATCCTAAGCAAAATGGCCCCCAAGGACAGAAAGGTAAATGGAGGCCACACTAGTCCCACACACTGTGGCCTCCCTCTAGTAGCGATGGATGCATGAGTGGGCTAACAAGCCCAGAGGAGACAGATGTGTTCTGCTGGCTCTGAGGTGGGGGGAGGCGTTAATGGGCTGAGAGAGGCCACAGTGTTCTCTGTGGAAAGTGGAAGATGACTGGAGATGAAAACCACATTCTGTGAGAGAAGTTCTTTGAAGAGCTCCGAGGTGTCTGCCCTAGAGCAGCTGCCTGTGCGCCTTCTGGATGCCTCAATAATATCCTAAAACACACAAATAAATATTTTAGCATGCACTATGCTTTATGGTCGATCTCACTTTCTTCCCTGACCCCAGAGCTAAGATTCTGCTTGTCATACATTTATTTGCCAACAAGACAAATTCAATCCCTGTGCTCCGTGGGCAATCAAAACAAGTACTTGTGGAAACTGCGCTGTTGAAAGGGACAGCAGCCGTCACAGGCCTGGAGACTTTTATTTCCATCAGCCCCTCCCTGTCCGCCCTCAGTTTGATGTCAGCCCCATACTGTTCTATTCACGGTTGCTGCAGCCCCCAAAATATCGTGCTTGGCATCTGTTGAGAAGGTCCCACTCTCAGCAAACCTTCACAGGCGAAGGGATTGGAACAGTAGAGAAGCTTCGAACAGTGCTTAATTGGTATTTCAAAGCCACGGGCACAGTTGGTGAGCTTCCTTCAAGTTTTTCTCTTCCTGATTTCCCTCCCTCCCACTGATGCCCTCCAATAGCAGCAATTCATAATGGATAGCTGAACACAGATTTTCCTACTCATACTGAGTAGATTGAAAGCTCTAGCTCTTAATCTAGAAAGCAGTTGATTATATTATCTAGGGACAAGATGATATTGCAAGAACTTCCATTCAATCCCCAGTTAAAGAAAAAAAACAAACAACAAAGGCCAAGGGAGCTGATGATTTTGAGGGACCTGTGGGTCTGTGGGGCATTCTGCTGAAGCCCTGCTCATGACCTTGTAAGGGAAATAAGCTCCATTTAAAAGGATGATGAAGGAGCCTCAGCAAAGTTAAGAACTGTGCCTGCCTTCTCCCAGCTGGAGCACTTGGGATCTGGATTCCAGCCCAGATTTGCCTACCCCGCATTCACATTCTCTTCTCCTCTTCCTGAGGGGGTTGGGAGGTGCAGGGGGAAGTGGTAAATGAAAAAAAAATATCTTGGAGAACCACATAGGTACTTTTTTCTTTAAGTGCAAAATCTATATGTAATAACACTGTGTTTTGGAAGCAGAGATGACTTCAGTACAAATCCAGGGTAAGCTCACCTCAGGACCACTGCTGTGGGGGAGGACAAGGTGGATCCCAGCTGTTGCTCAGGGTTCTGCTTTTTTGCTTTCGTTTCCACAGAACTGAAGAGTTAAGTCCAAGCTTCTGAATGTGCTAGACAAGCCGTCAACCACTGAACCACAGCCCTAGCCCTGTTGCTAGGACTACATCTATTTCCCCTCCTCTGTTTCCTTGTTTTTGTTGGTTGTATTGCATTAGTGAAAAGTGTCATGACAAAACACCCGGAGTCTGGGTGATTGGTGCTGTAGAAACTTACTTTCTCAGCTTTAGAGACTGCAAGATGCTGGCAGCGCTGGCTTCGTTGAGGTGTCTCTCCTTAGTTTGTCTCTGTAAATGCCTGTGTCCTTTAAAAAAACAAAACAAGGTCACCTCTCATGCTGGATCAATGCCCATCATGTATCTGTCTTATCTCTTCATCCCTACGGAGGCCCTATCTTTAAATATTGTCACTTTCTGAAGTACAGGTGATTAAGAGTTCCATATGTGAGCTTAGGAGAAGGTAAACACAATGCGGTCCACAAAAATACCTTAAACACAGGCGAGGGCATAGATCAGTGGCCAACGGCTCTCCTCAAATGAGCAAAACCCAGGGTTCAGTTCCCAGTGCTGGTATAGACAGGTGTAGGTATGACCAGCTTCAATACTAGCCTGAAAGACTCAGGGAGACACCTTTGACTCCAGGCTCGTCAGCGTCTGTGACGACCATATCAGACCTTCGAAGTTGTCCGCCTGACATTCCGGGGACGGAGGATACTCGAATCTGCTGAGTCACGAGGTTGTGTGGCTCCGTGTAGTCACAGTTGGACGTATCTCCTTTCACACACAGGGAGAGGAAATTGCAGACGGCTGGCTGACCCTGCATTCTTCCAGAAGGTTGTAACCTTAGCTAACCCAGGGAGGGAGCGGAAACAGGAAAACTCCCGAGAGCTCCAGGCTGACAGAGGTCGTCAGTCCGAGACCTTGGTGCTCCCCAGCTGGGGCCTGGGTCATGGCTTTCTCAGACCTTTTCCATAAGCGGGTTTGAACTTTGGAACTGGGGGTGCATTTCCTGGTGGGGGAGGAAGCAGGGCAGGCTTTCCCGGATGGCATAAACTGCAGACCTCATCAAACTCTTTCACTCAGTGCTAACCCTGGAAAGCCCCACCAAGCTGTAAGAGATCACAGTCTGGAAACTTCTCCCTCCTCTCTTCAGTCA